AAAAATGGGAATGAGACTTAAACCTCAAAATCACGTTTTGAAACATAAATTGGAATATATGGCTGAACATTGTTTGTCCAGTCACGAAGATCATCAAGACCTGAAATTAAAGCAGGAGGAACCTTTAACAGATGATTGCTTGCGCATTTCAAGTAGAAACTTAAAATTGAAAAGAAGAAAATATATAGAAAGACAATGGTTGTCATAAATATGTTTGTTGACTTATGGAATTAAAAAGAGTATTAGAAAGTGTTCATGTCCAAGACCTCCAATCGCATCAGCATGAGAATGAGTAATAATAACCGCATCAATTGTTCTTATCCTGACAGAAATGCAACTAGTTACAATGAGGCAAGTATCTGACAATATACACATACTATTACACATCTGCAAAAACCATCACCAGTTCAACAAAACACATCTTGTTATTTGACATTTGAAGGCTTTAAAAGCCATAAACAATTGAAGGATCAACCATACCTACTGAAGGTGTTAGTGTTAGGGAGCACATAGACAAGTTACTATTGACAGTGTGATCGTTGTAAGATACTTATTTCAAAGTATTTACAGTAGGTAGTTAGCATTACTTTCGAATGGCACTAATTTGAATAATGAACTGAAGAAAAAAATCAGCATTAGCAGTTTGCCATGGCTGCCCTTCTTCCCTCCATAAACCTGTTCTTGAGGCTAAACCAACAACCTCATCATTTTCCCTTTGCTTATATACATGAAATCATGATTTAGAGAGATGCTTACAAGGAAATATTTTCCTTATATTCAACTGCATATATTATTACATACGTGGCACATACAGGAGTTGACTATTGACATGGACATCATCATAATATATTTTGCTCAAGTATACATAATAGGTATTTCAGATTATTTTTGTAGGTACCGATTAGAATCAAAACAAACTATTCAAAATAAGATCAAGTTTGCAAAGGCAGCCATGGCCATCTTTAGTTTGTTCCACCATAAACCTGATCTCAAGGCAAAACCAACAATTCCTTCACTCTCCTTTTAGTCTATATACAATAAGCCAGGACTTAAGAGGAGAAGATCATAAGGACATAGTTTTCTTTACATTGAACCATTAACACTGTCACTTGATAATCTGGTTGTACTTACAGAAAAAAATTTTGCAAGCATTTAATACTCCATTGAAGCAATGTGTACAATTACCACAATACTTATACACAGAGTATGTACCTTCCGAAATGTCAACATATGATCTAAGATCAAAAATGTTAAACATGATAGAAGCTCTCTATCTAGATATATTAAATGCCATGAGAACCACTGAAGAGAACAAAACTAACCCAAAGACAGGAAACCATCTAAGAGCACTGTGGTAGAAAAACCTGAAAAAATGGAAATTGACGGGAAAAATCAATAAAAAGCAGCAGAGTAAAATCATTAGTTAGTAGCTAATTCCTTTTTTTGCCTCTTTCTTTTTATCACTACTTGGAGCAGGAGGCGAAAGTGAAAATTTAGGCATGAGCAACGAGACTTCTTCTGTCCAGTTCACTCTCCACAGATAGCATTGGAAAAACACAAGCATAATGTACAGAGCTTATCTCAAAAAAAAAAAAAATCAAGCTCGGACCAATGATGAAAAAGATCCTTAGCCTGAGCCCAAAAATGCTTATACAGAGATATTAGCCAACAGAATCATATACAAACAGGATGCTCATCAATTGATAATCGACCATCATCCATAGAGAATTAAGAAACTACTAGGAAGCTGTTATTAAATCTTTAAACTACAACCAAATCCAAATCATGATTCATTGCACGAGGTATAAAGATTTGGAAACTAAAAATAGCAACTTGTTTCCTTCTAATTAAACACCAGCCACACTGCTGCTCCTACATAATTATCAAAATAGAATTGATGACATGAAATGAGAACAATAAGAGGCCACGAAATTGAAAACAATGAAAGGCCAAAACAGAAAATATCAAATACAATGCTACGCAACTAGGCCGGATCCCCAAAAAACCAAAATAAAAAACTAACGTAGATGGAGACAAGGGAAAGCTATTTTCTTCTCGGTTTACTTTGCCTTTTCCTCACTGACAGAGATAAAGATATAGGTAAATAAGCTATATTTTACTTACTTGCCAGCATCTATCAAAATATTGCGTCTTCCAGACTGCATAGAATAACGAATAAGAATGCTTGTATTGAGTCGCTTATTTTTGTTACCTGGTTCCAAAGCTTTTGTGCAGACCTGCAAAACAAGGAAGCCCACCTTGTCTTCAACCAGTAAATATGAATTCATATGAACTAAATGCAAGGGATCCCAAACTATTTGCACATATGATAATAATAAATTTTCTTAAGCGTGGAAGTTCAGTACTAATACCAAGCATTTCTTTAGAGGATTGGTTAGACAGCTGACACGAGGAATCCCTTCACTAGTTCCTGTTCCCATGAATATAATTTCAGATTGTTCTACAGGTAAATCCACAACAGCATCTCCAATGGTAGGATCTGCAAGATGCAACACCTGCTGATTATATTGCTCATCTGAAGCCATAATCACTGTATAAAGCAAGATAAACTACGCAGGGGAGGCTATCAACTTTCAAGCAGAGAACAACCAACCACCTCAATCTCTTTTCTCACTGGTAATCAATCCATTGAACTATCAGCTATTTGACATGATTAATTGCTTGTTTAATAATCCATAAAACTAAAAATCTAATTTATTCCAAACAGAATACAGAAGTGATTCAGCGGGCTTATCAATGCCTAAAAGGATCATTCGGAGCAGGAAAATTTTTCTCAATTTCTGATTGTAAGGCTGGAGCTGGCAAATACAAATTACAAAGGGTCTAAATCTCTAAATTAAAATACAAAAATTATAGGATTGGCATCTAACTAGGAGAGATAACTATAACAAAAGACGAATATCGGATACCATTAGCATCGAAAGAGATATTACTCATTTGACAACATGGTAGGAATAAACCCAGTAAAGGAACTCAGAAGTGAGAAGCCAAAAGGATTCAGTTATACTAATCAAAGACGAAATTATTATAAATTAATGAAAGAGCGAAAAAGTGACAAACAGAGTAAGTGGGGAGCAGCATTAGTAAAACATACTAGAGCTAAGACAAGCTTGAAGAATCTTCTTAAACGGAGAGAACCCATTTGTAGAAGCTGAAGTTGGATAAGTGAAGATAGATAGTGGGCGTCTATAAGGCACAAAACAGGTGAGGGAAGACGGAGAAGGACGAATTGTACCGAAAAATGGAACCATGGACAAAGCAACCATTAATTCTTCGTTCACTTTTTCTGTTGCCCTTTGGAAAAAATTCCAAATAAAAAAGATTCTTTTCGGAGATGGCCTTTTGGTTCCAGGATACCGATTTATGGATGCAGGGAAAAGAAAAGGCAGAGTATGAAGTTCCGATTGGCCCAAAATAAAGAGGAAAATATATGAATTGCGGCCAGTCTTGATAATCCTGCCCAGAGTACATGAGCACCTTATTGATCCAGCGGCTTTTACTTAACCCACGAGCTAATTATCAATAAATATGTCATTACTCAATTTACAAGGAAAAAAAAAAACTCAAGATCAAATATTTATCATAAATGGTGCAAGTGATTAGAACAATTAACAAGAGAAATCAGAAATGAATGAGCAAAAGCATTACATTCTCTTGGAATATAAAAAACACTTGGTAACTGATTCTATTCTTTCTTACCAACTTTATGTAAAGACCATTAACCAAATCTATTCACCCAAGTCACACTCACCCTCACTCCCTAAGCTTGAAACAAAAATTCTAAACTATACCACCAAATTACACCCATTAATGTTTCAAAAAACTCTTATCAACTACTTCCACATCATAGTTTTCATCTTTTCCACTTTCATTAGTCTGCAGAAAAGGAAAATCGTACAAAAATTTCAAGGTTACCGATCTGAATTTTATTTATATATTTGAGTTATTTGTCATAATATGTACTCAATTATTTTCCTATTTAACTTAAAATAAAAGAAAATTTTACCCTTTTTTCAATTATTATATCATTAATCAAATATTTCATTAAGACCAATGGTAAAAATTGAAATTATTAAAAGGGTGGTTTTAGAAAAAAAAAAAAAAAATTACTTGAGTCCAAATTCTAATAGGAACTAAACAAATATTCTAGTTAACATGACATAAATTAATATAAAGAATGTAAGAGATCTTTCGTTATTGATAAAGAAAGTGTAAGGATATATATATATATATACCTTATATATTTTGTAACATACAATTATCTTGAGAAATAAATTAGAATATCTTTTTTGATAATGAAGGGTACAATAACCCCTCCCACTTAAAAAAAAAAAAAAAAAAAAAAAAAAAAATCAAACTTAAATATATATATATATATAATGTCTTAAGTATAAAATAACAATTTTATGATTATAAAATAGAATCAATGCATACAGAAAAATGATTACTTATAGTAAAAGAACTAAGTCATCTTTTTAAATACTAATAAAAATTTAAAAATTAACAAGTGCGAATTTAAAATAATATGCTAGTGTACTAAAAGTATGACTGATAAGCCAAGCCTTAATTATAAATAACACAATAATTGGTGAAAATACTAAATAGTGATTCAACACCTGTAAAGGTGACAAAATGAAATCTTTAAGTAAGGACAACATATCAGCTCTACAAATAATGAAAATGAAACCAACATGTATGTATATATATATATATATATATATATATGGTTGGACTTATGAAAGCTTTTGAGGTACCCAAAGGTACGTATGTGCTTCAGACTCGGATCTCGTCGTAGTCTGCTCTGTCTTTTGAAGATCAACTCCAGTTTGAAAAAGTGATTGGGGCCATAGCCTGCTCTGTCGGGTTGTCTCTCTTCATTCTTATGGCCGGCTGTTCTTCCTACCTGTATAAACTTTGAACAAAATATTCAGTCGTGTTCGAGATAAGATAATTAGAAATAGAAGTAAGAGATCTAAATTGAAAACAAAACAAGAAAATCTATTGAACTGTACTGTTTTTTTCTACGAAAAAGATGTGATTATTGTCGCAACTATTCAAAATCGATATCTTTACAAGTAAGCTTCTTAAAGGTGTCGCCTTTTTGTTGGATATGTGAAAATTAAGCCTTTCCAGGATTAAAGGAGTAGCCATTTTAATCTTTCTTAAAAGATTACAAAACAGCATCAAGTTACAAAATAATAATAATATAAAGTTTTAACTTTTATTTAATATAAAAAAAAATATACATATCATATTATATTAAAAAAAAAATTTACAATAAACCATTTGTTTAACGTAATATTTTTCATTATTTTTGAGTGAGAATGAAAAATGAAGTATGTATTCAAAGGCGTAAAAGTTTTGTTTTCCTCAAATTCTAAATCCACGCTTTGAATAATATTCTTTACTCATAAAGATAGACTTGACTTGTCTTTGGTAATTACGCGGAGAGATGACAATTCATTTACGATTATTTAATTATTATAATTAGTACATACAGAATTTTTTTTTTTTTTTTTTAAAGTATAATAAAAGCGATCATAAATTATGAAAGATGCTGTTTGTCTGGTAATAGAGCATGGGAACCATTCTTTCTTATTTGTATGATTAAGCAGCCTAAACCATCTTCTTCTCATCTCCCTCGTTTCGTCCTGTTCTTTTCTTTAATGATTTAATCACACTTCACGTTTAGCCTTGGGAATAACTTTAAGTTAGATTTCAAAATCAATGTTTAGATTCTGTAGGAGCTAATGGTTCATTGACTTTTCAGCACTGGAACTCTGACATGACACCTTTTTTTCCTGCAGTATTACTTTTAAAAAATATGATTTCTCCTATAAATACCAGTTAGTATTGTCTTGGTCGTCGTCTCCTCTCCTAACTAAGCAACCATGGCTAGGATCTCTGCTGCCGAGATGTTGTTGCTGTTTTCTCTACTTCTGGGTCATGGATTTGTGGAGCTTCAAGCTTCACACCATGTTTACAACAGACTTCAGACCCTTGAATCTTCCACTCTTTCCTCTTCTTCAAATCAACCTTACAGAACTTCTTTCCATTTTCAGCCTCCAAAAAATTGGATGAATGGTAATTACTTCTCTTCTCTCTGTTTTTCTTTCAAGTCTTTTTCTTTTATTCAACATCTTTAACAGTTGCTTCTTGGGCTTCTTCTGGTATTTGCCGACCAACTCGGGGAAATGGATGTGCAGATCCCAATGGTTAGTTTACTTCATCTTCTCTCTTCTTTTAGTTTTTAATGTTATGATACGAAACTACTTTGAGAAATGTAATCAATCATTACTAAAAAAAAAAAATGTAATTTGCTAACCAAGAACAGAGCTAGAGTTTAATGGAGTGTGAGGTTGATGAAATTATGTTGCAGGACCAATGGTGTACAAGGGAATATATCACCTCTTTTACCAATGGAACCCAAATGGAGCAGTGTGGGGCAACATTGTTTGGGCTCACTCTACATCAGCTGATCTTGTGAACTGGATCCCCCATGATCCTGCCATCTTCCCAACTCAACCGGCTGATGTCAACGGCTGTTGGTCTGGTTCCACCACCATCCTTCCTGGACAAAAACCAGCCATTCTCTACACCGGAATTGACCCCGAAAACATGCAAGTCCAAAATCTAGCAGTACCCAAGAACCTCTCCGACCCCTTTCTGAGAGAATGGGTCAAGTCACCCAAGAACCCCCTGATGGCACCCAACGCCATGAACCAGATCAACTCGAGCTCATTTAGGGACCCAACCACAGCCTGGCTCGGCCCAGATAGAAAATGGCGGGTCATTATTGGCAGCAAAATAAACCGCCGAGGATTAGCAATTCTCTACACCAGCAAAGATTTTGTTCGTTGGATAAAATCACCGCAACCTTTACATTTCGCCGACAACACCGGAATGTGGGAGTGCCCGGACTTCTTCCCTGTCTCCATTAAAAACAGCAACGGGATCGGCACGTCGTTGGTGATACGAGACGGCGTTAAACACGTTCTGAAAGCGAGCTTAGACGACACCAAACACGAATATTACACCATAGGAAGATATGATCAAGTGAAGGACATATATATCCCGGATAAGGGATCGTGGAGGGAGATTCGGGTTTAAGGTACGATTATGGCAAGTTTATGCGTCGAAGACATTTTTCGACAGTATTAAAGGACGGAGAATCTTATGGGGCTGGATAAACGAATCGTCAAGCGAGGCCGATGATATTAAGAAGGGATGGTCTGGAGTTCAGGTAAATGATTAATTAAAAAGAAAATTTTTCTCTTTAATGACAAGCTATATAATTTATATATGCAAATTGGCGGATGGATTGTTGCAGGCGGTTCCCAGAAAGATTTGGCTGGAAAAGTCGGGGAAGCAGTTGATTCAATGGCCAATAGCAGAAATTGAAGCACTGCGTTACAAAAGAGTAAGTATAGCGAAAAAAGTGGTGAAAGGAGGATCAGTAATTGAAGTTGGTGGTGTAAAATCTGTACAGGCGGATGTAGAGGTTTCATTTGAGGTTAGTGGGTTGGAGAATGCGGAGGAGATGGAGGGAAGGTGGAGGAACCCACAGGAGTTATGTAAGGAGAAAGGTGCATCAGTGAGAGGTGGGTTGGGTCCGTTTGGGTTGCTGGTTCTTGCTTCGAAGGGATTGGAAGAATACACAGCAGTGTTCTTCAGAATTTTCAAAACGCATCACAAATACGTCGTTTTGATGTGCAGCGATCAAAGCAGGTCACAAATATATATATATATATATATTTTTTTAAAAAAAAAATTGTTGAATATGCAAATTATATTTTCCCATAATTGATAAACAAAACTGAAGGTGGGTGTTATTATGGGTGTAGTACAGGTCTTCCTTAAATGAAGGTAATGATAAAACCAGCTATGGAGCTTTTGTTAATGTCGACCCACTTGGTCAAAAATTGACGCTCAGGACTTTGGTGAGTTTACATTTCAGAACCAAATAAAAGTATGTCCATTTACCTATAACACAAAATTCCAAACAAGACCATACTCGTCTCTATTTAAGAAAGAAATGCACGGAGTTTATTTAAATTCCAAACACCACACGGTACCTTATCTTAAATTACTATCTTTTTTTCTTCACTATTTACTTTTAGTTTATGGTGACCAAATGATGGTAGTTACCAACTTTCTGTTTTTATTCTTTTTCCTTTTCACTGTTTTTCACTTTAAAATGTGTATTTACTATTCAATTTGAGGAAAAGGGTGTTTTCCAACAAAATAATTGAATAGAGTAATATTCAGTTGACTTGTGTAAAAAAAAAAAAAAAATCTTTGATGATAAGGATTATTGAGTTTATTATCAAGTGATAAGGGGATCAGTTTAGGATACAAGAATTTATTCTAATGTTAGATTGGGAATTGACAATGTGAGTGGTATCACAGATTGATCACTCCATAGTGGAGAGCTTTGGTGGGAAAGGCAAGGCTTGCATAACATCCCGGGTCTATCCAACTTTGACGATCGACGACAACGCTGCTCGTCTCTATGCTTTCAACAATGGAACTCAAAGTGTGAGTATTGCCCAGTTGAATGCTTGGAGCATGAAGAAAGCTCGTATCAATTGACACATTTATATATTTTTGAACCTACAAAGTTCACCCACTCACACTTGTAACCTTATCACATACATGCTCGTTGATTCCACTACTAATAAATGGGTGATTCATTCTCTTTTCACATTTTAAGAGGCCAAATATCATGAACTAAGGCCATTTACCATTTCCAAGTATTACAGTGTTTTTTGCATCTGTTTAGACACCCTATTACTCAAATTGTTAGCACCGCACCCTTAAATTAAAAACATCATAACTCTATCGGTAATAATGTTACATATTACAGATGTACCTTTAACCATCCCTCGTCCATGTACCTTCTTAGCCTACTTATCATCATCATCATCATCTTCTTCTTCTTCTTCTTCTTCTTCTTCTTCACTGCTTACTTCTTTTTCCATCTTCACGTCTGTCATCACCTACAATAAATCCTCCCAATGTATCTTCGTCTTCCCTTCCATCATCTTCCTCTGCATTGCTACCTCTCCTTCCAACAGGTGGATTTTTGGTATCTTCTCTTTGTTTGTTATTCTTGTCCTTTGATCTTGTCGAGGACACCGGTCTTGAAACTCTTTCTCGTTTTCGCAATTAACCTCTCCTCATCATCACTCTCGGCTCTTCAATCATCATCAACACCATTCTCTTCATTCTTTCTTTTCTTCTTCCTTCCACCCTTCCTCCTTTCATCATCCTCACTATCTTCCCTAGCTTCTTCAAGGAACCAGTCCCAATGCTTCATATCACGGATCCTTTGCTTTGGATACTGATCAAACTCTTTCCCCATCACAATAAATCCAAACTCTGAAACTCCCGCAATTACATGCCAACAGATGAATTAATAGACTTGACTGGTAAAATAAGAATTCCAGCTATATTAATCATTCAAACAAATACGTAATGAATTTCACAGCTTCAGCTCAAAATAGTACGTAACTGTTCAAGGATCAAGACTCAGTTATTAATAGATTTATCTGGATATTTTTGGAATTACATTGGTATCAAAGAGAAAAACTATGCAAGTGACGTATTAAGGATAGCAGCCTAAGTTAACGAAATAAATAATATCACTAACTACATGAGCGATGATCGGTGAAAGAAAATAATCAGATGAAACTGACAAATAAAAAGCAGACAAGTTGAGTGGAAAAGGAGTAAAAAACCAAGAGGCCTAAACACGTTTTCGCATCAATCAAACAGAGATGAAAGAAATATTATGTAAATGAAGATGAAAGAATACCTTTAACAGGATCAATGTCTGATATATCTACACTGTTCAATCCACTCTCTTTCTCCGAAACACTTCTGTCCCCAATTTCAGGTTCATTTTGGCATCTCTTCAAAGTAAAACACACGGGGGGTTTTACCAAAAAAGCACAAGGAATCACCGGCGGTCGCTTCGCCCTTGTCGAATTTCTTGAAAATTTCAATCTCTCCGTTGCTTTTCCTCCTTACCCACACAGGATTCTTCCCCAGAACCTGGAAAGAGACCCTAAGCTCTGGTTGGGTCTCGGGGCTGTCAACCGGCGTTTCGAGCTCGAACAACACGTGATGTCGAGACACTATCCGGTTACTTGTTCCTCTTCCAAATACGGTCTTACAATTTGGTTTTATCAGGGTCTTTGAGCCGTCTTCGCCTTCGACTTCCGTGGAAATCTAAACTTCGATTTGCAGGCGGGATGGTCTTGTCGTGTTTATTTTGGGGAGGAATTTTGGAAGTACCGGATGGGTTTTACTAAAGTGGCGTGAAACTCGACTGAAGTAAGAAACAAAATGTCGAAAACAGGAAGATTTCAGAGAATCATTTTTACATGTTCCAGAATTAATAAGTCCAACTCCTCCATTGTTCACAAAATTCTGGGTCTTCTTTTTCATCTCCGTCCATCAGATAATTTCCATTAACCCTTTTTTTTTTGGCAAGTATAACGATTTAATTTCGAATGTTATTATTCACACTGTCTTAAGAAAAAATTACAAAACTCTTATATATTACTTCATATTTCTTTCAAAAAGAAAAAAAAAAAAAGGAAATAGAACTAATAGCATATAAATCTAAGTTTAACTTTGTAATTGTGTATGAAAAATGAAAAGAATTTATGGTGCTTATTAGAGCAAACAAGAGGATATCATAGTTGAGAAAAAGGACTACCAAATATATATATATATATATATATATATATATATGTTAACTAAAGCTAAGTATCTATCGTTATAGCCAGAATTATGCATAGTTTCTTTTAAATGTCTATAATAAAATCCAATAGAAAAATGTACACAACCATATTTTATTGACTTTGTCATTGTAAATGTGACATTTGACTAAATTATTTGGTCATTTTAATTTATTGAAATCAATTACATGAGAGATGAATGTGAAATAAAACATATGTTAGATGAATTTGATTTGTATTTTCCTATTTTCTTCCCTTTTTTTTCCCTTTGTTTTTCATTTTATTTAAAGTTTGTAAAAGTTATTTTCTCGTATTAACCTCGTTTACACTATCAATCAAGATTTGTTTACAATATATTTATATTTCAACATATGAAATGAAAGATGGCATGCGATGTGAAAAAATAAAAAATAAATAAATAAAAAGAATGTATTAATATGAATTACTTACTTATATTTTATTATTATTATTTTAGTTTGACTCAATTAAACTATATTAAAGAGTTCATAATCATCGTACTTATTTTACACACGAAATGAGTAATTATATCAATGTATGCATGTGATGTGATATAAAAATTGAACTTTAATCGAAGCTAGACATACATAAAAATAAAAATAAAAAACTCCATTTAAATATTGATTTACAACAAAAAAAAAAGGTATAAAGTATTAACAAATAGTTAAGACTAGCACAGTGGAATAATAAAGCATTTCATGAGATTTTAATATTATTCTACTACCATAAGTTTTATTATACTAAGAGAATGATATTATTCCAACATTCACGTAATAAGTATGTTGTAATTACACTAAGATTCTTGTAATACTATAAGTTATATTGTATCAAAAGAAAAATCTCATGTAATACTCATATAATGCTTGTGTTGTAATTGCACATCTGAACTTTCTGCACCATCGCAAAGAGTAATTCTTTGTGTTGACTTGTTTGAAAGTAACATGCTTACTTTAGGGATAATACATAAATAGCTATTGTATTATTCACAAAAATTCAAATTTGTTTTTTCTCAATTTTTTGGATTAGATGCAAGTTATATTTTCAAATTTTGTCCAAATAGTTCATTACTACTATCAGTGTGTCTAACATTGTTAGACATATGCCAACATATTAGAAGTCATGTCCACGTGGCAACTAAGTGATTGGTTCTACAATTGCTGATATACTATTATGTATCGATGTATTTTAAGATGTCATTGAATTGAGGGATGGTACTTAAATGGGGATTAAAAAATATTTAATCTGTATGAACATTGAGAGATTTTCTTATTATTTTGTATTTTTGTTCGTTTTATATAAATTTATATTTACTTTGTAACTTTTTGAAGATAAATAAAATGAAAGAAAAAGAAAGAAAAATGTGAAGTAGAGACTATTTCACTGCAACACTAAACAACATATTTAGAACTTGATGCCAACGCGGGATATTGTTTTCTACATGGTCTAACTATCTAATAATGTTAAATACACCGTTAGTGATAAGTATATATTCTGATAAATTTCAAGAGTTTAGTTTGTATTCAAAATGAAAAATAGTGCAAAGGATGATTTGGAATTTTTTGAACGGTACAAAGGTTTTTTGATGTATTATTTCGTTTAAGTTAACTCGATAATTCATAGTTTATTGAGTTAACACAAGATTATATCCAATTTTATAAATAAAATTGAATATAAAAATTTCATGGAATGCAATTGTTAAGAATACTTAGACGCGTGAAATATCCTTAAAAATCTTACTATATCATGAAGTTATGTTAATATCATGTCAAATATTACATAATATATAATGTGTTATTGTCTTACACGTATACCAATAAGAATGTGTCATGTATTGTCAAACTCGACACATGATACCTGACTTAACAATATTAATGGTTGATAATAGGGATGGACTAAATTGAAAATTTAGAAAATAAGGACTAATTTGATCAAAAATTGAGGTATAGAGTAATTGAAAAAAAAAATAGTATATGGACCAAATCATTATTTAGTAGTTATTGGTATTTTGAAACATAAGAAGTTGAATATTGGGTGTTATTACTTTAGTCACCATGTAATACCTTTCTGCATCGTCATGTGTGCATATTGGAAATGCCTAAAGGTAAAACATAATGACTATGAATTATGGTTGCCTAAGATTTTAGTTCGAGCATGATTAAAAATTTAGGCATGATACTTATTAAAGTCAAAGTAGGCAATCTGATCACCTTCTTTTTTTATTCAATTCCTATTAGCCATGGCCTTTTTAGTTTTTTTTTTTTAATGTATTCATTTTATTGTTTGACTACATGTTTTTTTGTTGTCTAGTACAATAAAGGTATAAACTAGTTGTAAGAATACATGTCGTGAAAAATACTAAAATGGTAGTTTAATCATTGGATGCCCTTTGGAGTATATCATCTATGTGAATTTTGTTTATTAAATATCATATTATTCTTGGTAATTGCTTGAGCATAAACTTATTAAATTGAGTGAATAATTATTTGATGCAGATATAATAGATGATTGATTAATTTAATGACCCAAGGAAGAGATCCTAGAATAGCAGTGTAAAATTTGATCTCACTCATTAACATGCTAAAAAAGCTAGAATTAGTTCTACTTTTGTGAACATTAAGCTATTGTAGGGGTCACAACAATCTAAATTTTATTGCTCGAATACTTAGGCCTATAACTCTCACTAATTTCTCTTTAAGATAAAAAAAAGTATAATTTAGATGTCACAGGCCTTTTCTTCCATTTCTTTAAACATTTGTAATAACCGAAATTAATTTTAAAATATTTAAAATTAATGTATAAAATATAATTTTTAAATTTATGAATTTTTATTTAATATAAAAAATTAAGAAAAATAGGTGGAGGATGAAATTGAAAATAATTTTGAAAAAATGTGTCACGTAGGATCGCCCAGTCAGCAGTCCCGACGAACCGAAGTGCGTCGTGTGGAAAGGCATGCTGACGCGGTGCCACGCAGGAGGCCACGCTGGCAACCCACATACCTGTGATCGGACGGTCCAAATTCACTCCCTCTTTAAACACGGTCATACGGTCCAAATCAAATCGCGATGGACGGTTCAGATTTATTTTCTATTTAAACGCGATCGGACGGTTCAGATCAAACGTGATGGACAGTCAAATAAAAAGGAGACTGATATAAATACCTTACTTCACACTAAACCCTAACCTTAGCCGCCAGCCCCCTGCCCCCCCCCCCCCCCCCCCCCAAAAAAATTAGAGAAGAAGAACCAGTCGCTGGGAAGGGAGCTGACCATTGTGCCAGAACAATTTTCGACCGCCAAAAAAGGTAAAAAATTCTTCCAATTGCTCGAAATTTGATTTTGAATACCCCCATAGCAAAATCGGAGCAAAAGGACTGGCAGATGAGCCGAAAACTGTGGCGGCATCACCACGAAAAAAATCAAAAACTGCCTCCGATGAGTCCCTTTTCGATTGCTGTTTCGTACAATTTTTCTACCATTGTATTCACCATTTTATTCCCACAAGTTGACCAAAGAAAAACGCATAACTACAAAGGTGAGCCGGTGGAGCCGCTGCAACGAAAAACACCGCCGCCGATAAGCTTCTATTTTTTAACTTTTTTCGGCCAACCGAGGACCCTTAACGTATTTTCTTGTAAGGATGAGTACAAAACCGACCGAAATTGGTTAAAACTGGCCGAAAATGGCCAGCCTGAGGCAAACTACCACTGAGCCGAAATCCTAAAATTGGCCGGAAAGGATTTATAACACCAGTTTTGGATTTTTTGGGGTATTTTTAGGTATTTTGAGCGTATTTTAATCTCCAAAGAAAAATTCAAAAAACCTGAGGACCGACAATAGGCGCAGCTGAAAGTTTAGCGTTTCGGATATTGATTCGAATAAGAATCTCTCATCCTATTTTTTATTATGGAATTGAAGTTTAATTATAAATAATGTGGTATTTTGTACAACTTAGAAAATCTCGATAATTAATCACAGATTATTCATGGAGCCATAATTGGTTATTATTCACTGTTGATCATGTTTGATTGATTTTACTGTTTTAAATGCATAATATTACGCTGGAGTTGGTATGATAATTCAGTTGTACTTTCTTGACACATGTATTGCTTGTTTTGTATTATTTACAGTTAAATTGTGAACCTAGAAATTAAATGTAAACGAAAAATTGTTTGATTAAGTGAGTGAATAAATAGTAGCCTTACTAGATATCCTGGTAGATAGTGGACAGACCAGGTACATAGGGAACCCTACCGTGAACATTGCCTCATACCGGATGGAGTATGGAGGATTGGTATTTTGGCGCTCATACTGGATGGGATATAAGGTCGGCCTGTTTCACCCTCATATCGGACGAGGTATTGAGGGATATTATTTTTTGCACTCATATCAGACGGGGTATTAATGGATATTATTTTTTGCGCTCATATCAGACGGGGTATGAGGACGGTCAATTAACTGAAAATGTTGAATAAGGGTTCATGCGTAGTGGGACATCCCTATAGACCTCCATGGATACCAGTAGGCAGATAAAAAGAAAAAATTGTTGTTCTGGTTAATTGAATATCAGATTATGATATTATTTGTGTTATTGCCTCTATAGGTCAATTTTGAAAATGTCGCTACGATAAGTGAATAATAAATTATTTTACTTAT